TTACACCACAGAATTAACTATGAGTACACAAAAGGCACGACAAGAACTAGACAGATCTTGAGAATGCATATAAATAAATTCCATGTAAAGACGAGAGATTAATCTGGTAAAAGCACAAACCTGCATCTCTGCCCGCGGCAACAGTATTTTGAGAAAACAACTGAAATTTGGTAACAGCCTTATCGTGAATGAAGATACAATCGGGTACACATTTTATATTGAAGCGTGTTTTGAGTCCACTGATTTGTCCTCTAAAAGTATTAAACAAAAGCAAATGAAATATCCTCGCGATTCAGAAAAACAAACATATGGCTCACAAACATGTTTAACCCCGACATATTCTTTATATGCCTGTCCCAAGTCAGGAGCCTGTTGTTCAGTGGTTGTCGTTGGTTCATGTATGGCATATTTGTTTTTTTGTAAATTGTTTTGTTTTAAGTTAGGCCGTTAGTTTTCTCGTCGTTTGAATTGTTTTACATTTTTCATGCTTTTTATATCCGACTATACAGTATGGGTTTTTCTCAATGTTGAAGTTCGTATGCATATGCTGGCCTATAATTATGTACATTCACTTCATTTGAACTCTGGTGGATAGTTTTCTCATTGGCAATCATACTCCATCTTGTTATTTATATAAATATGGGTCAAGTGAAATATCGCTGTAGTTTGTCATCATAACAGAATATGTGTTCTTGAATAACAACATATTCTTTCTTGTTCTACTACATTTGTTGTAACTTTTAATGCAATTTTCACCCGTAAAAATGTTTCAGTTTATTGACATTGGGTCAACTGATGTAACTCATTCATAAAAAAACTGCTTAAATGGGACTTTTAAACTGTGTACCTGAGAGGACCGTATCAAACGAAATTTAAAAAACAAAACACACTTATCAAAGATATTAGGCTTATAATTTTGTACGTCCAGTGTATTCTGCAGGCTAAAATAAGGATAATCAAATTCTAAAAATGTTTTTATTTTTCAACATGCTAACACATTTTGACCATTTAGGAAGTGTGAAATATAAAATCAACCTTAATCTCAGACAAAATGGATATTTTAAATACAAAGATGACAAATAATTGTGTTAAATCTCCCCTACGTAATGGTTTTGAAATTACTATTTTCAATTAAGAGAAACATTGTGCATTTTATTGTTTAACCATTCAATATGACTGAAAGTACTCTTATTTTGAGTATTAAAAGTATTTAAGAATAAATGGAAAATGTGTCCATGGGACACAGATGATGCCCCCGCTTGCATATAACGTTATAAAGGGACATAACTCAAGAATGGTAAAAGTGAAGCTACCCAAATTCGAACTTTATCTGAGTTTTGTGGTAATAAGCATTGTGTATGTTTCATAACATTTGGTTGAGGCAAACTTAAGTTATATAACAGAAACGAAAAATTCAGCATTTGTTTTCATTTGTAAAGGGGCATAACTCTAGAACGGTAAAAAGTGACGCCACCAAAATTCAAACTTGATCTGTGTTTTGTGGTAATAAGCATTGTGTATAAGTTTCATAACATTTGGTTGAGGCAAAATAAGTTAGAGAACAGAAACCAATTTTGGGACGTACGTACGTGCGGACGTACAAACGAACAAGGGTAACACTTAATGCCCCTTCCGCTGCGGCAGTGCATAAAAAATTATTAAAAGACCACACCCATTTAATATGATTGAAAACGATTGTATAAATATTACTTATACAAACGTTTGGATGTTTGCATGTTAAAATATGAGGCAACTCGTCTTATATTTTAAAAAAGAGACGAAAACTCAAACTCACAAGTTGAAAATAAACTGACAATGCCATGACAAAAAGCAAAAAATAAAAAAAAAAAACGATCAAAAGATAAACAACATTATACAAACACAACATAGAAATCTAAAGATTGATTAACACGAATCCCCACAAAAAAGTAAAATAACAAAAATACCGAACTCCGAGGAAAATTCTAAACGGAGAGTTCCTAAGCAAATGGCAAAATCAAAAGCCCAAACACATCAAACGAATGGATAGCAACAGTCATATTCCTAACTTGGTACAGGCATTTTCTGATGTAGAAAATGGTGGATTAAACCTGGTTTTATAGCTGCCTAAACCTCTCACTTGTATGACAGTCGCATAAAACAGTAAAAGTTATAAATTACAAAAACAAATAAAAGAATAGTATACCACGTTATTAAGATGATAACCAACGTCAGTACCTAGAATCTATACTTCAAGACCATCGTGTATTATTTGTGAAGTTGATACGGAATATTTATCAACAAGGTCTTGGTATCTTCCGATGAACTTTTTTAGAAAAAGGGCGAGACGTTCTTTGACATACCCTTGGTTCATCAACTTTCTTCTCAGACACTGGTGACGTTTTACAAAGTCTGAGTAGCAGCTGTAAGCTCTTGAATACCGAATGAGTTGGGAAATGTATATCCCATATGCAGGTGAAGTTGGTATATTGCTACTAAGGTGGGGGAATTGATAATTTCAAAATTAGAATCGTCTCGTTTGTCATAGATTCTGGTACTGAGATAACCGCTTATGTCAAATTCGAGGTATAAGTAAAAAAATTAGGCAGAGGAAGCCGTGTCTGTTGTTTCTTTAATTTCTAGCTCTGGAGGATATATTAATGGAACCCAATCAGAAAAGTTTGGATTGTTAATGGAAAGAACATCATCAATATATCTGAACGTGAAATTAAATGATCTGGCTTCTTTGATCTTCTTGTTTTTGACAAGTGTCCGAAGAACTGCGACTCATATGAAAGTAAGAAGAGGTCGGCAAGTAGAGGCGCACAGTTAGTTCCTATAGGAATGCCGACAATTTGTTGAAAAAGTCTACATCCAATTTCAACAAACATTTTGTCAATAAGAAACTCCATCATACTGATCACTTGCTCCTCTGTGTAGCATGTTTTACCTTTTTGTTCACTATTAACAAAATATGCCGTTTGGTATCCCAAAGGTAATAAATCTATAGCGTATGCTTCCATTTTTATGTTGAAAAGCATTGTGGATTATTTCTTTTAGACGATTTTTCAATTTCACATGGGAAAACCGTCTTATAGTTTAACTTGTGTTGAAACAACTTCTAAATAAGAAAAAAAATTATTATTATGAACATTAATTTACCACTGTATTAACAAATACTTGCTGGCATTTATACGTTGATGATTTTATGTTGTGTAGGGAATGACGGTTTTGCGAAGGTGACAGACAAATACATTGATAAAAAAAATAAAAAAAATTTATACTAGTATATATGAAAAAAGTATCCAATTTGGTATACCATTGATTATTCTCTACAAGAATACAGCGATATACTACAGACATATGTGCAGTTTTATATCAGAGAATTTTGTCAACTACATAGCAACTTCGCAACGATATTTACTTTTAACTGTTATGTAGCGGACTATTACAAAGTGGACGCATTCGCATGTTTTTGTGAAATTAATTCCCACTTCTAAAGCTACATTAAGGAATCTTTTCAGATTGTCAAAGATACTGTGCATAATATTTATTTATTCAGTGTAGATTGCATGCTTCGTGTTGCTATGAATATTAGGGTGTGCCACGTTTCATGTCTGACGTGTTGCAAAAATACGGTCACTAACACTTATAAGATTCAATCTTAAATAGTTTTCTCATAGTGCTACCTTTTTTGCTTGGGTGCCTATGATTTGAAAACGTTGTAGTGGTAGATGCATAAGTAACCTAATAGATCTACTGGATATAAGGATTGTTTTATGTACATCAAATTTCTACTGTGTCATGTTGTTGACACTTTGTTTTTGGTGCATTTTACGTTGCCTATGCAATATTTTAATTCGTTCTTATCAATTTGACATTTCTAATAATTGTATCAGTGTTAAGTGTTGTAACGTAAAAATGGTTCAAGTGGAATATATAAATGAGAGATATACGGCAGAAACAAATATATGCTCATTTTTTTACACAAGTGCTACCATGCCTTTAAACTTTTCCAAGTGCCACGGCCATATCAAACATTCGGATGAACATGAGGAAATCCTTATTAGAAACATCCGAACTTTCAACATATATCTTGGTTCGTTTCCGGGCCGTGTCAGACGAAACACTTGGAAATTGGCATTTACTTCTTCTCCGCCAAGCACGAAGTATTTATGAGTACGAGCAAAGACTGGTCGGCTCGGATTCAGAATAATGTGTCCGACAGGTTTTCTTTCGGACTGTTGCATTGTGAAATACAACGTTAAAAAACCATCTCATCGAATCCGTTTAGAACTAAGCAGGATCTCTTAATCATGTTCTCGTCCTTATATACAAGCAGTATTTGTCACTGGACGATAAACACGAATGCATTTATTCATCCGTCGACACAACTTATAAATAGTTTAGATTATACGTTGATTACATGTAATATCGGACTTATTTGGAATATTCGACGGGAAATGATTCAAATAAGATTGTCGCCCGTTAACTATAAAAATAAGTTTCAACAGTCATCTAACCGAAGCCAATTCAAATATATCTGACAAAAGGAAGACTTATAAAAATAAGAAGATGTGGTATGATTGCCAATGAAACAACTCTCCACAAGAGACCAAAGACTTAGTTTTTTTAACAGCAAACACTAAATATGATTGTATTTAAAAAAAAAATCAGTCAAAAAAGAGAGGCGAAAGACACCAAAGTCACATTCAAACTCATAAGTCGAAAATAAACTGACAACGCCATGGCAAAAAAAGAAAAAGACCAAAAGAAAAACAACAGCATACAAAACACAACATAGAAAACTAAAGACTGAGCAACACGAACCCCACAAAAACTGGGGGACAAGGGTTAGATGTAGTACTCCGATTCTTTTAATTTAATAACTTACGTCTTTGATGCTACTAACTGTTTAATATATGCTTATGTGGGTAAATGAATACACGAGGTCCAAAATATTGGTAAATGCTTGGTCGTGCCGTACTATGTGCTAGTTTAGTCCTTTTTTTTAGTAGTCACCACTCTCCCTAGTGGAGAGTGTCTTTCATTTTTCAAATAATCAACAATGCATACCGCATTAATTTGATAAAAAAGTAACAAAACTAATATACACAGGGACCTTTACATGCATACTGAATTTCAAATGAATAAATATAAATCTTTTTCATTGATAATTTGAAGACGTAAGTCGGGACTTTGTGTATTGTGTCTCGATATACATTGCCTGAAAAATGTAAAACTTGTACCATAAAGCTTGTCCCATCCTTTCACTATATGGTGAATAGTATCACCGTTGCTGCTAACGTGATCTAAGTCAGCATTTCCGTCGTAATTCCACGTGGTCATTATTGTTGCAAACGGATATTTAAGAGGGTTTCTCGTATTAACAATATCTTTAAAAATGGCTTTGGTGTCTTTCCAGGTAGATTTGATCAAAATATTAGTTGTTCCGTGATCCTTAAATGTTACGAATAATTGTAAAGCTGCTGGTGTAATATCTATTCTTGATATCGGAGCGGAGGGTAGATTATTTTTAGATGGATCATTTTGACCAAAAACAATTGATGTACCATATGGAATTTCAGTTAGTCCATGTGGTGCAATAGGTAATATGTTCATTTCACCTGTCCTCGACAATTTGACAATAGGACTGTAAACGTCAGCCCATGGAAGTCGATGTGAAATTACTATCTCAGACACATGATTGAACAAGGTATCCGTATCTACATTTCTAACAGACATTGGTTCTCTCACAAACTGTTCCTCGTTAAACTGATCCCTGAAAACTTCTATTTTTGTATCATAGCTGGAAAACAAAGTCTCACTATTTATTGACTGTGATGCATGATGCTCTAACTTTATAAAATCTACTGTAATTGATTTCATTTGTGCTGGATCAGTTAGAATATTCAGCAAAATTTCATTTTCCTTTAAAAAACTGTACTTTGGAATCAGCCAAACATGTTTTGTTTTCATTGAGCTGAAGTATGCATTTTTTAGTGTGGTCCCTGATCCTTCAGTTTTATACGTGCAAGTTACAAGAAATATATCTACAACGTATAGAAATTGCAGAACAAGTCTTGTATCTGTGTCATCGACGTGTAAGTTATTAAACTTAACTTTCATATATAAAGATTTTGACGTATTAGACCGACCATGTTCCATAGTAACACTTGGATATAATATAGAGTGAACGGCATCATAATGTGACTCGAGCTGTACTCTCGAAAATTCCCATAATGTTTTGTTGTTTCTATCGCAAAGTCCATGTTTATCATGAAAATTATTTTCAAATGACCTGTATTTAGGATGCATCACTGTAACAAGAAACATAGTTACATTTTCATGGTAGATCGGCAAGAGTAAATTTTTATTGCTTGGACATAATGACTGCGATCTTTTCCTCGTCAGAACAGCAGAAGACATATCATCTCGTGCCCGGCCATTTGAATACATTATATCTTTGTCACAGAAAAGTGAACATTTAAATATTTCGTTGCTAATGTATGGATCTAATGTTTTAATTTCCAGTTGGTCTAGTTCGACTCCATAAAAATCCGTCTTATTTACACTTATTGAAAGAAAATGTCTTCCAGACGATAGATTTAAATTTGGACCAATCGGTCCACTGTGAAGAAAGTTATTCCATCCTTTACCGTAATTGCTTTCGTCTGGTGACGTTAAAATACCCAATCGTATTCCATCTATACCAAATTCAATAATATCACTTCCTCCATCGTTAGAAAATCTAACGTTATTTAAATTAACAATTGTTTCAGCACGGAGACAAAAATATATTTTAAATGAATCGTCTGTTTTAAAATTAATGGATCCATATCCAGTTGAAGAATCTCTGTTGATTGTAAATTTATCCATGACGTAATTTTCAACTTCGAGTGGGAATAAAGATTCCCCATACAACATTAAAGAATGTTGAAGAAACACAAGAGCACGTATTGCCGATAAATACATATCCAAATATTTTGTAAAGAATTATACAGAAGTGAAATATTACATCCTGTTTCATCAGAACATACGTTGATTATACTATAAGTTTATCAGAGATGATTCATAGTTTTATAAAATACATATCACTAATCGATTACTTTCTTATAAAATGTCAAAAAGCAAAACAAATACCATCAGAGAATGAAATATCTTACCACATTAAACATTTAAAAGTGCACAAAATACAAACGTACCTCTACAATAGGTGTAGTGATGATTGATATTAGAACAAAATTGTCAAACACCTTCGTTTTTTAAATACCAATACAATTATTTGTACATAATTAACTATTTTGTGCATGATATGTGTTGTAAAGAAGACCAATTGACAAATTATCGTTAGTACATTACATCTGAACAAAACGTAGTACAAGTACTTACTCATCACTTATACGATCATTAATTACCTTGAAAGGTAGATATATTTCTTTTTTAGTGTAAAAACATTGTAGTAGGAAAAAAAACAACACATTGCATTTTGATAATGTATGATAATAATAAAAATAATAACAATAACAAATAATAATAATAATAATAATAATAATAATAATAATAATAATAATAATAATAATAAAAATAATAAGAATAATAAAAATAATAGGAAAAATAAAGTCTGGATTTATTATTGAATTTCAAATACTCAATAATATTTATTCTCATGGGTTTTCATTTCAGTTTAATATTACGTTTTTTGTTTGTCAATATCCCTTTATACTCCAGATTATTCAAAAAGTTGAATAACAAACTGTTTCTTAGATATTAACAAGAATGTGTCCATAGTATACGGATGCCCCACTCATTTTCTATGTTCAGTGGACCGTGAATTTGGGGTCAAAACTCATTAATATTTGAAAGATCATATCATAGGGAACATGTGTACCAAGTTTCAAGTTGATTGGACTTCAACTTCATCAAAAACTACCTTGACCAAAAACTTTAACCTGAAGCGGGACAGACGGACGGATGAACGGACGGACGGACGGACGCACAGACCGAAAAACATAATGCCCCTAGGTGGGGCATAAAAACATGATATAGTAAAACAAAATAAAATGTACATTTTTTTCAAACAGAATAGATGACTTAAGATGAATGTTTTAGAACACAGAAGTTAAGATGTATATAAAACCAAGTGATGAATTTCTTATATTTATGGAGTATATTTGCTGTTGCTCTAATGATGTGATTTTGTTCTTTGTTCTGTTGCCTCACAGCTATTTACTTTGGAGATGATGTATATGAGCTTTAGCCGGCTTCCCAATCCATTTCAGTTTCACTTCAGTAAGGTGAACAGAGAAACAATAAAATGTGTTTTTTGTAATACAGCAGAGTTATTACGAGACTGATTGTACTTAAAAATAATATTTGTGTCATTAGAAATGAATATTTATGACAGAAAAGAAAATGATATAATTCAAGGATAAAGTGATAACCATGTGACATTTGATTATACCAATTATCAATAATATCGTTAATGACCAGTGCTGATGTACTTTTCGCACACAGCAGTTCATGAGTCTATTACTCAACACGATACTGACATATCACTAGTAAACTAGATATCATAGTTCTATAGATATCATTGGATGTATAATTTTGTAAATCTTCTGTCCATAAAATGTTAAAATAATTCAAAACACGTATGTCTTTAACCCCAGGCACTAATGATGACTCTCATGTAGACAGATGCGCGTCTAGCGTACCGTTAAATTATTAGCCTAGTAATTTTGATGATTTGTTTTATATCAAATGTGACAAATGAACATTTGTATGAAAGTTTGAACAAAGAAGTTGCACTCAATATATACTTAAATTTAGATCAAATAGTTTGGTGATCAGTTGAAAAAAAAACCTAGAATTTAATAATATCATTTTATATATTCAAGGAATAATATATCATCTATTTGAAACTTTGATGCAGAGATGTAGCGTGTTCGACATCTAGCAAATAATACCACACAGACCGGTGTTAGGGGTCTTGAATTGCAATAGGCCTAGATTTTTTGGGTACACGTTCAATGCCTCACTGTGACTTTTAGACGAACATTGGCAAAATGAGCACTGTCACTTTACTTGTGGCTGTATAAGTATACATATAGTTTGTGTTATGAATTGATACACCATGTCATTTCTTTTCCACTAAATCTGTTTCAACCGTGTCAATCAGATATGGATTTAAAAAAATCGATTTTTCTATCTTGCGAAGTTATTTTATTAAATTGAAAACAACGTTCAAACCTATGATTGCGTTGGATAAAAACCGCAATTTTTATACGTGTGCATGCAAAACAAATTTCTTGGTAGAGGGGTCTAAATACAGCACAAACAACATTTTCCAAATATACACGTCTAAACATGTAACAACTTTATGACAGACATTCTCCATCGGATAACACGTGGTTATACAGTGCACAATAAAATATATAATTCGTCTCAAATTTAGCCCAACGATGTTAGATCTTCAAATTTGTGTTAGCAAATTTTTGTTCTTCCCTCAGCGGGATTCGATCCCTTGCTTCTGCGACATCGTCGCAACACCGCCTGCACCGTGTCCAGTGCCTTAGACCACTCGACCACCTAGGCTACATAAAAATATAGCTTTCGGTGGTCGATATAATGCCTTTCTTCGTCGGCTTAATGTAGGGTTGTAACACAGTACATGATGTATAGTGGCAAGTAGATGGTGTACCTTTCAGATCAGCTATTTTTGTCTGTCGTAAAGGATGATAATGTTAATTACCATGCCGTCACATCAAATTTTAATTTTTATTATACACGGTTAAACATGTTACAACTTTATGACAGACATTCTCCATCGGATAACACGTGGTTATACAGGGCTAACACCATACTATATATATATATAATTCGTCTCAAATTTAGCCTAACGATGTTAGATCTTCAAATATGCGTTAGCAAATTTTTGTTCTTCCCTCAGCAGGATTCGAACCCTTGCTTCTATGACATCGTCGCAACACCACCTGCACCACTTTCAGCACCCTAGACCACTCGACCACCTACGCTACATGAAAATATAGCTTTCGGTGGTCGATGTAATGTCTTTCCTCGTCGGCTTTATCTAGGGTTGTAACACAGTACATGATGTATAGTGGCAAGCAGATGGTGTACCTTTTATAAAGTTGTCACATGTTTAGACGTGTATAATAAAATTAAGATTTGATGTGGCAGCATGATAGTTAACATTATCATCCTTTACGACAGACAAATTAAAATAGCTGATCTGAAAGGTGCACCATCTACTTGCCACTATACACCATGTACTGTGTTATAACCCTAGATAAAGCAAATTACAGATCTAACATTGTTGGGCTAAATTTGAGACGAATTATGAATTTATATCACATTTGATTATACCAATTATTAAAAGTATCGTGCACCCCTACTGGCCGACTTGTTTTTATACTCATATGAAGCTGAATCTAAACCAAACCTTATATTAGAAAAAAATAATCTTGCAACGTTCTTTAATCTAACTTTGAAATGCATTGATGTTGTCCTGTCACTCAACAACTTACATTTCAGTGAAACTTGCATCTCATATATCCACGTGAACTTGCAATTAAGTATACTGCCGAAACTAGAAGATCTGCTTCATATCTGAATCTTGTTCTCAATATTGACACCGATTGACGACTTCAAGCTACATATTTTGAATGATACGTTACGCTCGTGCATGATCACACTATACGTTGTATGTGAATATTGTTGCATACAGTTTATTGGAGATTTCCAATAAAATGACATACGTACCTAACTCGACGTACGCACGTAACGGGACCGGTTATTGCTTACCTATTAATTTTGTTAAATGCGTCATTCAAGTTTTAACTAAGTATTCCTAAACTATAAAACCCATTCAGGATAAATTTTATCAATATCAAGTATTTCTAAGATGATGAAAAACGAGAGAAATCATGATTTTTATATATCACGTGATTATTGAGATTCCCGCCAAAACTTCACTGGCACAAGACCACGTATATACACGTATCTTAACCTACCACACGATTGATTTGAGTTGTCTTTCATGGATTTGACCATGACTTTGTTTTTCGATATACTTTGCAAATGAACCTTTTATTATTTAATATTTGACATGCTTTAATTTGTTGTTAACAGATTGGTGTCCCTTTTTCCTTTTGTCTCTTAATGTTTTATAATATTTAATTTCCTTTTTTCCTTTTGTCTCTTAATGTTTTATAATATTTAATTTCCTTGGGTATTTATTATATGACAGAGATTTTTCTAGCAATTTCAAAAATATCGAATTCAAAGTGTTAGTCAGAATTTGTCTCTGTTAAAGATGATAACTGGGATTGCATCATACTTTATTAAGCATCAATTCAAACGATCTCTTCTTCTGCAGTTAATCTTGTTAATTTACAATCTCCGATTTTTTTTCCAAAGGGAAAACGTTCGACAAAGGGATGTGTATATTAAAAAATAATTAATACAGGTCTTGCACTTCTTTAAATTTTAATAGTTGACTCACACTTTTCTTTCAAATAAAAGTCAACTAACATTAAAAAAAAAGAATTTTGTAATTAATAATGATAGAATCATTCTATATGTAAATAAATGTGTACACCAATTCGTTATATAGATTGTAATTTGGAAGGTGTACTTGATTAGCAATTGATGACTAATCTGCATATAAACATTGACCGCTGTGGATAGTACAGTCAATATCAATTACTATTTCATAGTAATTGGCTAAAAAAATGTCCTATCCCAGGAATCTCTGATTAAAAGTGGACGAGAATACCAATTTATATACTTGTTACACTTTTAAGACAACTATATTGCCACTTAAGTCTTTACAGTAATTTTCTTAAAAAAAATGTACTTTTAATAAGTAAGGCTTGATATTGTCATAGTTGTTTTTGGATAAACACAACTCTTACTAATCCAATTAGAAGTCAGCCAGGATTCTAAAACTATCACATATTGATTGAGTTAAGCAAAAATTTTTAGTTTCAATTTTTGTCTCGCATTAGAGGTATATATTTATATATAAAAGTTAAACTCTACGACATATTCATGCATAGGATCGCCATTGAAGGTGATACA